TTATCGAAGGTAAACCCAGTGAGTTCCGACTAACCAGGCAAGAATTCGGAAACCGCGATTTCATTGGCTAACAGAAAGTTCACTCAGAGATTGACCCTTATGAGAGTTCTTCAGACCCTACTAACGAAGTGATATAGTAGGGGCTGGCTTTAGTCAGACTGAGGAAAAAGGATGATTAAAGATACATATTAATAATTTGACTTAAAGAAAGCATTAAAAGAAATTAATTCTTTTTTCGATGAAAAATTAGAAGTTTTGATGTCACAGTCATTGCAGTGATATAATTCAATATACTTTATTGTTAGTTTCCTGGATGTTTATTTTCATAAATATTATTGCTGATTTCGAATAAGGGGATTTTTTGTAAAAGTTTTTGTGAAAAAAAAATTCATCTAAATAATAGAAATGTTATGAATGAATATTAAGTATAGGAATGGCATAAAAATTAAACATCTTTAATACAAAAAAATCTCAATACACTTGTATCTATTTCTGTGGAGCACTGAAATTCCAATTTCCCGCCCCTTCAAGATCCGTCCATGATGATTATGGAATCTTCATGAAAACAACTTCAGTGGGCTCTCACATTTAGGAAATGTTGATAAACACAAATTAATAAAATATAAATAAAAGACAAGAGATCAAATCTGACATTTAATATTGAACTCTTTAAGACCCCGTGTATTCTACATTATTTTTAATAAACCCTTTGTTTATTTCCTCGTGTATGTCTGCTTTGCTTATTAGACAAATTATCAGACTATAATCATTGGCCATAAATTTTCTTTTTCATTTCATTTCTAATTATTGTAGCTGTGTTGTACCAATAAAATCTTAATAAAGCCCAGCATATATATAGCCTGGTAGAAAAATGCCGGGGTTCAATATCTAGAACGGCTACATTTACTTACCACCTCTAAACCTCCTTTCCCGTTAGTATTAGTGCCAACCAGAAAATCCATATTCCCGCTCCATTGTTCGGGGGTACAGCATCCTTGTATCAAATGACAAAACCAGGGAACGGTCAGAATTGTCAGGATTATGGACTTCATTCTGCTATCAATCCGATCGCGACTTGCACAGCTGTGTTCGTTACCTCTTTATTTAGCATACCCGGTCACAGGGTATTTGGAAATTCCTTATCGAGTTTTTTGTAGATATGACCTTGTAAGAAAGGTTTTTCTTCTCTTTGGCCATACTGTCGTTCAAGGATACGGAGAGAGGGGAAGGAATAAATTTCTGCCTGTACATGTATACATGTGAAGACCCCCCCCCCCCTCCCTTAAATTCCCTTCATTAAAATCACTCCCTTTTTGACTCTCTACTCCAATAGCCCCTCACAACTCCTAGTCTTTCATCTCCAGTATCATATCCAACGTAATTTTCTTCAGTATTATTGCAGTTTTTTGGGGACATATAAAAAGTTATGGTGTACCGAATTTACAAACATGTTTATGCACCAGCTGATGCACAAATAAATATAGAAATCTTACATCATTTTAAAAAGATATAATTTAACTTGCTGTGCGGAACTAAAAAAGATAAAAACCCTTCCAAAGTTGGAAGCATTTATAAATGGTGCATTTAATTTCTTGAACATGTGTGCGCACAATACTGTCGGTATTATTTATAAAAATCATATTTCAACGTGGCGCTACACTCCGACCGCGCGTTAAACGAAGTACTCGCTAATACTTGTTTATTTGATATAAATATATGGAGATATCGAAGAGTATTCATAGCAAAACAATACAAATCAGGAGCAGGACAGATACAGACGTCTAAAACATCACAGTTGGCATCAGGTGCCGTGGAGGAATGAGCATCCCTTCTTGTCGTGTGCTTCTTGTCATGATCGGGAAATAACGGGGAAAATCCAACAATGGTCTAACAATAACTACAAAACCGTCAGTCAGTATTCGATTTACAGGTACTTGGACACAGATTTGAAGTTATTATTTTTTCTATAATATTACGACTTATATATTTTAATAGCATTTCACACAAAAATTAATTTAAAATCTTATTTCGTTTAAAAGATATTGAAATTTCAAATTTTTCGGCGGGTTTGATTGACATATCCTTGCACCCTCACAAATTTAATTTTATTCTTAATAATTAGGAAAAGTGGCAATCCCGTTTTGTATCAATGAAAAATATTAATACTATAATCCAGAAAATTCAGAGTAGACACGTTCGAAAGCAAAACAAACACACAATATATTGTCAGTCGGTGCAGTTGTGGTAAGCAGACTGTGACGATTGAACGCACCCGGTGAATTCTAAATATAAACAATAACAGAACTCGAGCCCTGTTTACAAAAAATAACACGAGTTATGCTCGATTTGCTAAACTCTGTACGCATCTCTTAGTTCGGAATGACGATACTTGTGAAGGTATTTTGCTTTCTAACATTTCTATTCTGAATAAAATTATTTTTCTTGATAAAAGTTTTAATATATCTCATTAAAACACATCAAAATTGCCACTTTTCCGAAAGATTAAGAATAAAGTTAAAATGTGAGAAAGTGCAAGGATGTGTCAATCAAACCTGCTAAAAAAAGAAGTTTTAGTAACTTTTTTAATTTTTATTAAATTTTTGTGTGAAATGCTATTAAAATATATAATTCGTAATATTATACAGAAAAAAATGAGAAAATATTAACTTCAAATCTGTGTCCAAGTACCTTTAACAATAGATTGTATTTACTGACAAGTCGAAGACCATTGTAACGATCAAAGAAGTTGCAAAAGTAAAACTTTAAACGAGACTCGTTCTAGATATTTCCTACGTAGATCATGCTCTTGCGTATCGAATCAACCGAGAGATATTAACCCCCTATGCAGGTGATAAGGGTATATTGCTGCATAAGTAAGAGAAATTGACGATTGAAAAGTTCAAGTCATCATGTTTTTATAATAAAGCATTGTTGTTAGATTACCATTAACGTTTTTTCAAGTAATATACAGATGTGTTGGACTCAGTGGCATCTTTTATTTTAAGCTCAACGGGGCATGTCGACATTAGAATGTAAGCGACCATTCATTACCAATACGTCGTCGATATATCTATGTCGAGTACAAGGACACAGCAAGTGTTTTTAATTCATTTATTCTTTTTACGATAAGGTCATATGAATACAAAAATAGTCTGCTCATTGATATCCATGTGAATTTCAATAGATATTGTCAATCAGAAACCCAAGCATTTTTCAAATATATGCTTCAGAGTACTTGTGTTTACAAAAATTTAACAAACTAGAGCAATGCTCGTTGCAAAGCAACGAGTAGGTCTTCCGTCCTGTTTGACCGGAAGTAGCTTTCATTCATAACAAAAATGAGAAATAACGCCCAAAAAATGCTTTGAATCCTCTAAAGCTATGATAATTAATGCAAAAATAAGCCATTTTTTACCACTTCCGGTTTAACCGGAAGTAACGACGACGCATGGAAAATTAATTTTTAAGCTCCCAGAGACATTTTACCCAAAAACTTGTCCAAAACGGCAAAAATACGCGTTTTCCGACTACTTCCAGTTTGGCCGGAAGTGACGACGCTGGACGTATTTTGACGACTCTATTAGATTAAGCTTGACATTTTCAACAACTTTGCTTCTTTGATGTATAACAAATTCTCAATACTTTTTGAGATATCTGGAAAAAACTTTTGGCCCCTCTAGATCCCTTAATTTAGGGGTCAGCCCTTTTTCCAACATATCATTTGAAAGACCTTTTAATTCTGCACAAATGATGTTCTATATATTTTAACAAAATATTTTTAGTTTAGAAGATAAAAAGCAAAATATGAGTAATGTTTGGTTCTTTTAAGCGTTCTAATTTTTGACCCCTATATAGCGCCATTTTGAATAGAGAAATCGAAAAACAAAAACCGATGTGCACAACTTCAATCCTTCTATTATCTAAAATCAGTAGAATTTCTGCTCCAGCTTTAACCGTCTCTGAGCCTTTGTCTGGAAACGAAAGCCTATAAATTTTCTTTTAAAGGGAAATAACTCAAAACCGGAAGTGACTTTTTGAAATTTTAGTCAGCGTTCTGATAGAGTTTATAAACGTCCATAACCTCTGAAAATTTGAGCGAAATCCGTTGAGAAACGAATGAGATATGAGGCCTCAAAGTTGCGGTCTAGGAAGCAGAAAAAAAAGAATAATAATCTTTACCAACAGAATCAGTAGAAGGTCTTCCGTTGGAAACGGAAGACCTTAATGACAAGGTACGTAAATTTACGAGTTCTATTTTATTGAAAAAAAAAAACAGCTGTCAATGATATCAAAAAGCCTGCGGCCCTTATCACAAAAAAAAATCTTAGGACTAAGATTAAAATTTAACAACTCTACAATTTTTTGTTCAATAAAGATATTAGTTTTTTTTCCTAAAAAAATCATTTACAGTGTAATCTAACCAAATAGAAAAAAAAGAAGTTTTTGGTGACCTACTAGGGCTTAGACACAGGGAAAATTGGTCTTTAAAACATGAGAGGGAGATTAGGTGCCATGTAGGAGTGAGCATCCCCTGCCACCCGGTCATACCCGCCTTGTGCTCCTTGTCATTATCATGCTTCTTGTCGTGATCAGTAATAAAATCAAAGCAAAACCTAAAGAAAATCTCAATTTAATCCTTTTATCCTGTACTTAATTTGATTTGCACTTTTGGATATTCTAGTAAATGTCAAAGAAGTTTTCTGGAGAAACAAGAGAAAATAATCAACACGACAAAAAAGTTTATTCAAAGTAAAAATGTAAATATGAATTAAGTAGTTCATGGATTATGCAAGGAAATGTAAATATTCAATAATTTGTATCAAAAAATTTTGTTTTTCATGCAAAAAAGTTACATAGTTTTAAGATCTGGGAAATTGTTCAAAAAAGCATGTAAGTATGTAAGAAATTCAATACAAATACATACAAAACTTAAAAAAAAAGTTTCAGAGACTCAAAGTGACAAAAAATGAATGATGTTAGTTTTTCCTGAAGATTTTCTGTTAGCTATACTTCAGTATTTTTCTAAACAGACTGGACATTTTGTGGTTAAGCATTCCAAACTTTTCAAAGAGATCAATCTCCCCCTACAATGAGAAGAAAACAAATTATATTATATATTATATTGAGGATGACTTGATTAAAGAAATAAAACCCTTTCTAAGAAAAAAGTGGATACAATGAATGGAAAACCTGTATACGTATTATAATAATTACTTGAAGGCTGTCTTAAGTACAATGAATCTCTTAATCAGTGCTTTATTTCCTGGTGCGTTGTTTAATTCATAAACATGAATTTGTATTATAAACTGCTTATATTGCACTTAATGGCTAATAAGAATGACACTTTTATTATAATTTATGGACATGAATTTGTTTGATAAAGTGCTTATTTTTCTGATGTGAATGACACTTATATTATACTTTTTCCATAGTACTATTATTGTACCCTTATGCATTAAATGCCAGAAGTAAAGCTTACACAAACTAAGTACGTGAGCGTTTAATACTAGTATAATATTATAATGTTTCAGTCTCATTAGCCATCGAATATTTAAACATACACAGTAAATTAATGCAATTACTAAGATTTTTAATGTATGTAATTATTTAAAATGTGAAGCTAAAAAGTTAGGTTTTATAGGCACTTTTGATCCTTACCTCTTCAATTTTATCTCTGCATTCTCTTGGTTTGTCGAAAACTCTGGGATCATCTATCCCAGGTTCAATTCCTGTGTACCCAATGCTGGCCATGAAACCTCCTGAAGTAACAATGATATTTTATAATTGCCAAGCATTTATTGATATGTAGCAATAACCTATATATTATTCAACAGATATTGTCATACTGATTTTGTTAACATAAAGAAAATTACAGAAGTAGCTCTTTTCCATTGTTACTTATTCAGGATTTTATTCCTACCTTTTTCTGTACCCCCTTGAACTGTGTCACCTATGGGAATGCAAAGTTGGTTAGAAACCATGAAGAAAGATCTCCCTCGGACCTTCTTTAGCGGGATCTCATAGGTACTGACATCCAGAGAGTCGGTAGATGTCCCAAGGTGTGAGTCACTCACCTTTCTGCCCTCACCTGTAAAAGAGCATAACGAGGTAAAAAACCAAATGTAATTGTTATAGAAATATTTAACAATCTGATGGATTAACATCATTGAAATCTCCAAGTATTTGTCCTTTGAAAATAGTGCAATTACATGAGATTTTTTTTTATTTTGGGATCTCTTTAAAGAAGTTTTAAATTATTCAAAGTAAAAAAAAATAATCCTCTGCTAGTATTTTAAAAAGTGTTCATGTCTTAATAAAAAAGGATATTAAAGTTTTCCCATCAGATATGCAGAATTAGTGTCCTAAATGCATCTAAAACATAATAATTATATGAATTAATAAAGTAAAATGACATAACCCCATGCCTGAAAATCTAAAGAAACTTACTAGGTACACAGGCGCGCTTAAATTCTTTTCCTGCCAATCTTGTTGTATTGCAGTTACCATTCAGGACAACATATTGAACTCCCTAAAGTAACAAAAATATATATCATAATATAAATGTTTATTAACATGACTTTATTAATGTGTTAAGTTTAATATGTAACTTTTCTAAACTTGTTTAACACTCACTTCTTCAAAGTTTTGGACCACTGCTCCTCTGAAGAATTTGCCGTCTACAACTGCCTCTGAAAAAGCGGCTATTTTCGTGTTCTTGGCATCATAGAAAAGCCTGACTTTTCCCTATATAAATGAAAACACATTTTCAT